CCTAAACCCCGAAAGCCCTAAAGCGTTAAACCCTAAACCCATACAGCTGGCTGCCCACCCACGACTGTGTAACACGTCCTTGAGCAAGTTTTTAAAACTGAGAACCCGTACAGCCACAAACCCTAAACCCTAAACCCCCGAAGCTGCCCAGGGTGGCTATTCCGATGGGCCGCCCACTGAGGTGCCATCCCGAATCAAGCCTCCATGGTAGGTGGGTTTAGGGTTTAGCGTTCAAGGGTTTTAGTGTTCTGTAGGGCTTAGGGGCTAAGGGGTCACTATGGGAGGCTTGCCAGAGGATCATTAGAAGGTGACGTAGAGGGTTCCTAGGGGTTGCGGTAGGGTGATTGTAGGCTTATTTTATTTTTTTTTCGGGTAATCACTTGTTACGGTTGCAAAATTGCAAAAATATGGAAAGTGGGGCACTCTTAGTTTTTCGGTGGCTAGCTCTAGGTGATCCAGCTTTGATCTGGCTTTTGCGTAGCAGCCACTGCAGTCTCATGGCACTCTGGTGGGGGAAGGTTGGCACATCTGGGACTGAATGGGGTCACCCCTGCGCCCTCCCTCCGCGGATCTTGATGAAGCCGCTCGGGCTCAAGATGGATTTGGCAATCATGTTCTGGATGGATCCCGATGTAGTAGCCTCTTCCAGCTCAGCCTGATCCTTGCATGCCAACCCTCAGGCTAACAATCAGGGTTCTTTTGAGCTTACGGGTCAAAAGTTCCATCGTGTCCATACTCCACTCAATCACAGCAATTGGCTCCTTGTCTGGTTTCGTCTTTTCTGCACCAGTACATGACAGAATGATGTCAGCCAAGGTACTTCTGTCAGGAGCAAGGAATCTTATTTTCCCGCGAAAGAAGCTTTGCATCGGCGCATCCAGTGGTATTCTTCTTCTTTCCCCGCGTCGCCAGTGATGCCTCAGAGCTCGGATCAAAAAAGGAACTTCAAATCTGTACCTTGTTAGTATGATGCTTTATTTCCTTGGTTTCACGTTTATCTCCCGGGCGACAGCTCAGGTTACGAGCATGCCAGTACGACCGGGAAGTTGGTTTCGCATCAGAACGGCAGTCAGCAGTTTCAACACTGGCATGTTACTCCGTCCTGCTTCGAGCTTGCCATTGTCGTTGGGCTGTGCGGTTGAGACACTTCTTAATAATCTATTCGCTGCGCATCTCTGAGAAGTTCCACATGTGGCTCAAAGAGACCAGGTGCTGTGGAATATGGTGGGTCCGCACATAAACTGTTGCTGCGCGCACCCGAACTCGGTTAAATGCAATGGGACTTATTGTCTGTATAACTCGTTTTGCCACCAGCAGTTTGCTTGGTCGGGATTGAAGAGGCGATCTGTTGCACAGTTCATCCAGACCCACCCCTCTCGTTTAGCTCATGTCAAGAGAGCGGGGAATCTGGTAGTTATAGTTTATGGTTTTCTTTCCACAACTACGGAGAGAAGTGGCGGTGGTGTCTTGGATCATTGCAAGCTTTATGCTTTTGCGAGAGATGCGTTCTCCGAGACGACGTACCTGCTGCATCAAAACATCCACCCGCGTTGATTTTGCTGCCAGCAAGAAACAGATCATTCCTTCTTGTCTTAGCCTAGAAGGCAAGGAAGCACAAGCGTGCGATCCAAAGAAGGACGAGCGTCCTTCCATTAATTTCTATTGTCTACAGCCAAGGATTCGCTCTGTTCCTCGAAGAGCGGAAGCAGTGGTACGTTCCATGTTTCTGCTGCTTGCTCCGAAACTGACTCGCTTTTTTTGGCCATTGTGCAAACGATCAAAGCCGTCGGGCAGGAACACTTTCCACAACATCGGATCTTGGAGTCAATCTTGTCGCGAGACATGTTGCACATTGTATGACATAGCTCATGCTGAGTTCTTATCTAATCCAGCATGACCCCCACAAGGACACGTTGCATTCCTTGGAGCATTCCTTCGCTGCAGAACGGGCGGTATCCTGGTAAGCGGTAAAACAAGCCGCGCGGCTGTGTGACGTGGCCAAGTATCCTTCCCTCACAAACCAATCGTTCATGCTACTCCGCCAAAAGCCCGAAGCAGATCTCCTGCGCCTTCATCGTCGTTGCCTAATCTCCAACCTCGCAGCGGATGAGAGCACTTTTGCTCAGAGCCGCTCCGCTTCTTGTTTTGTGCAACATAGAATGCGGACTTCTTTCACGGCCCACCAAAACTTTCAAAGGTCGGGCTTTAACAAGCTTTGAGAAGTTGACTGTCCAGAAACAGACGGTGGCGGACTCCCCTTGCGCGGCCATCGCAGTCAAACTTAGTCTGCCCTTTTGTCGGTCTTTTGTGTCGGGTGGCCTTCTAAAGTTTCCAGGCATGGTCTCATCCTGAACGGAGTGGATGTGTATTTGGCGATTTAATTGACTTGGATGGTGAGCCACTCCCCGAACTCATGTAGCCTTTAGGTTTCTTAGTTGACTTCGACGGGTTCAGCATGCCTTAAGGCTTCACATATTTCACATCAAAATCTTGTATTGGAGGCGCTTTTGACCTTACCAAGAATATTGTTCGCGAAGGCTTGAAACGGATCAAACTCTGCCGAGATGCCGGGTCGCTGGTCCAGCTCGGTCGAATTTTGGTGCCGGCGCAAACACTGTTATCCTTTGATCTCACGTGCAGGAACGGTTTCCGAGTGTGTTTCACCAATTGCCACGGTGCCAAAGCTTCGCCAAAAGGGTCAGCTCTTTTTGTGTTCTTTTTGTCGGCACCCTTGTACATCTCACTATTTCGATTTTGAGGCCGATGACGCCAGGATCATCATTCTGGAAATGAAAAGACTTTTTTCATCTCATGATATGAGCGTTCTTCAAAACTTGTGGCACTTTGCAGGTTTACAAGGTTTCTGAGCCAACCTACCCAGCCCTGGAGATCAGGATTGACTTGGGTTCAGGCTACCCGGGATGAAGGCGGGGGGGGGTTAAGAACGCAGAGTATCCCAGGGCTGTGTGCATACCCCAATCCCAGCACCCGAGGTATTACGTATTGGCGGGGTGGTTTGCTTTACAGGTTACAAGGTCTTTTTAAACAATATAACATAACTACTTAAAGTGCATCTTTCTTCAAGCACGATGTCCAGCGCCCGAGAAAACGGCTAAACTCCACACGCACTTCGGAAAGCTGCATTTTGTGTGTTGTCTCACGTTTCCCGGCTCTAAGGTCCTTCGACTAAGAGGGCTCTCTGCAGCGTGAAACTTCGCTCCCAACCCTGATTTCAAAACTACAAGCCGCTTCCGAAGCTCACGTCAGACCCGAACCACGCGAAGCCCGCAAGCCCGCAACATTGCTGCATGGTAATAAGCCCCAAGCCAGAAACGCTTCACTTTAAAGCCTATACTCTTGCACCCTGGCCCTTTCTTTATGGACCCCCTCAGAGCGCGCAAAACATTGAGCCCCATAACCCTAAACCCATAAACCCCAAACCCTAGGCCCTAAACCCTAAACCCTGAAACCCTGTAAACCTTAAGCCCTGCGACCAACCCGCAAAAACTTTGTTAATTCAGGCACAAAGTTGGCGCAAGTATGGCGCCACGCCGTTTCTGCCAGGGAAGAGGACTTAGGGTTCAGGGTTTAACTGAAATGTACCGATCGAAAGCAGCCGGCGGCTCTAGACGGTGGGGCGGTGGATGTTTTGGGCATCAAAGTTTAAAAATTCGGGCCCTGGGATTAAGACTTAAGGTTTTGAGGTTTCGTGCTCTGGAATGTAGGCCTGTTGGTTTTTGCTCTTTTCAGGTTGGGTATAAGGTTGACCAGGCGTCTTTTGCGTTGAGGACAGATTTGACCGCTTGCTGGTGCTTCCTGATCACTCCGAAACTTAGCAGAGACATGACAGCCATGCTTCATGAATCAGCCGATCTGATCTGGAGTTGCTAAAGCCACAGCAGTAAACCCTAAACCCCGAGAAACTCGTTAGAGCCCTACAAACCCTAAACCCCACGTTCCCCCAAGAACTCAATCCGAAACCCCTTACCCCAAACCCTACGAAGCCTAAGGATTAAATCCTAAACCCTAAGCCTGAGTCCCTAAACCCTAAGTCCTTCACCCAAAGCCCTTAGCATCTTCAAGGTCCCCCCAAACCCAGCTCCTCGCGCCTTGGGAGCCATGCGCAGCTGGAGCAGCAGCACAGCCGACCGGACGAATGGCCCATCTGTCGAACCATCGGAGGCTTTACCCTAGACCCTAACCTTCAACCCTAAACCCTAAACCCTAAACCCTAAACCCTAAACCTGAAACCCCTAAAACCCCCAAGCCCTAAACACTAGGGCTTTAGGGCTTTGGGACTTTCAGGGCTTTGGGCTGTAGAGGTTCTGGGTTTAGGGCTTTAGGGCTTTAGGGCTTTAGGGCTTCAGGGCTTTAGGGCTTTAACTGCAAGATAGAACTGTTGGGGTTGGGTTGTAAGAGGACATTTGGGAATGTCTAGAGTCTCATAGGGTGTATCATGGGATCGGGGTTTAGGGTGTAAGGTTGGGGGCTTGCACAGTTTATCATGTGGTTTGTACGATCTCGGGTTTGTTGCTGGTCAGGGGGGTTCCCTTCACAGGTTCTTATTTCGAGCACCAGGGTGTCGGAGCCTCATTGCTGAGCGGTGTTGCTTTGCAGGTAGGGCTTAGGGCCCAAGGCTTAGGATGTGAGCTTCAGCGTTTAGGGTTCACGATTGGGAACTCAGCTGGGCGTGTGGGTTCAAGGTTAGGGGCATGTCCCGCATGCTGGGGCAACAGATGGGCACTACACTATTATGGAGGCCGAGGCATGGGCTCACTGTAGCAGTTCGGGGCTTTATGGGTCGCTTTAAACTCACTGCTCGGATAGTGAGATCGTGCAGTACTGCCGCGACGCCAAGGCGAGGGTTGCAAGTAAAGCAGGAGTCCCAGTTGTGATTTAAAGCCTGACCGTAGAAAGGAAACCATCCTGATCGAGTCGAGTCCCGGCTTCAGAACCAGGAGTTCTAGGCCCCTAAGCCGTGTTCCTCACAAGTTGCACAGGATGATGAGGAGGAAGGTTTCAACGAGGACTCGGGTGACGAGGATCCCTTCACAGGACCGGAGATGGGGAATGAACCGGGCAGCAAGTGAAGGTGCTACAGTTGAGAAGCCGGGTAGAAGACAAAATAGCAATGTAGTATATCCCTACTACTGCGTGTCCGTAAATCTATGTGTGGATGCATGCATGGATGTATGCATGGAATTATGCATGTCTGTATGCGTGCAGTAACATGCATGGGGACGGGGGCGGGACGGAGACAGGGCGAGAGAGAGACAGACAGGAAGTGAGTGAGTAGAAGCCTTTGCGCCCGTTGGTACGTCATTAATAAATTAGCCATTTTCATGCGAAGAAGCCGAGGTCCTTTGCTAGGTGGGGCTTCCTGGAAATGTAGAGCCCTGATGAACAGACGCCCTCCCGCTAATGGTGAGCATGGTAGGGTCGTGCGCGTGGTTTATTGACCAGTACCCGAAACCGTAAAGTCTTCGCTGAGGGCTCGACAACCGCCACCGCGGAGCCCGAAGCGGCCCGAGCTTCGCGAGCGGCAGAAAACGCGCAAGCCTAGGTAAAGCTAGGCGAGTGGCACCATGCATGCCGGGTTTCGGGCATCTGCCACGGAGTGGTACAAAGGTAGAGAACAGTTGGGCGGCTCCTGGATGTCTTCTTGACAACGGTTGACAGCCTTACAGAAAGCCCACATGAGAACCCGCCAGCACAGCCTCACAGAAAGCCCAACCCAGAAAACAACTGAAGCTGACATGCAAGTGTTGATTTCGATTCTGCTTGGGACCCCTTGAAGATAACGACCATCGTCGGCCATGCCAAAGCCCCCGCTGGACCTTAGAACTAAACACTAAACTGGGTGGGCTGTCTGCTACGCACAGGTGCGAGCGGCCTGGATGTGCACACACCAGCGAGTATCCATGACGTTACCACGCCTCAAGCCCTAAACCCTAACCCCAAACCCTGAGCCCTAAGCCCGTATCGGTCAACTGTGGCTCAGGACAGGAGGAGTCTGGTGAGGAAGAGACCACTTCTGACGAGGAGGGGTTTGGCCACCAGCCACTCACCGGGTATGGTATAGTATAGTCTGGTGTAGTATAGCAGATAGCAGGGTATAGAGTAAAGAGTGTCGGGTATGGTCTAGTATAGTACAGTAAAGTACAGTATAGTAGAGTAAAGCAAGGTAACGTATAGTAAAGTATGCCAAGTTTAGGGTTCAGCGCGTCAAATGAAGTTGCCCCCAATGCCCGTGATGGCTTGCAATCTTCCCGTCCAATACATTCATGGCCCGAAGGTTTCCGGGTTCAGGGTTTGTTTTGGAGGTTTTGGGGGTTTGATGTGTTTTTGGAGGTGCTGGGTGGTTTCAAGGCCGATATCTGTAATGGAAGCCAGAGACGCCGCAGCCTAAGTTTATGCAGAAGGCCCGGCACTGTAGGGGATGATATATGTGGCGTCATGCAGTGTAGGCGTACATATATAATCGCCCGAACCCTAAAGTCCCCATACCCCCATGCCCCAACCCGACCCTACACAAAAAGGAAGCCACGTCCTAAACCCTCAACCCACAACTCTACAATATTCCTTAAGCCCTGGTCAGATCGAGCACTGCTGCGCGAGAGAGTCCACCCGCCGTCGCTCTTCGATGACGGCGATGGTCAGCGAGGCATCCAGAGGTTTAGGGTTAGGGTTTGGGGTTTAGGGCCTGGGGTTTAGAGTACAGGATTTAGGGGTTCGGGTTTAGGGCCTATGCTTCAAGGGTTACTACAAAGGTGTAGTACAAGGGCCACTGCAAGAAGTACGATAAGGGGTACTACAGGCTCCTTCTTGTAGCGGTCCAGGCTGCAAGGGATTCGTTGTGTGGTCTTTGTACTATGAGGGTTTTAGGGTTTAGGGTATTCCTTTAGCGGTCACGGCTTCAAGGGATTTTTGTTTTGTTTGATTGTGGGGTTTGCATTGTTTGTTCTGTGTTGGCATCTGGGTTTAATGGGAGCCAAAGTAGGCTCCGGAGCGCAAAGCGTTGACACCTCCCCCCTTCAGTAGAAACGTTGCCTCCAACAGTTTATGTTTGGCTCGATCGCTGTGCGACCGGCTTTGGTAGCATTGCCTTTTGGCTTCAGGGTTCTGTAGGGAGTTGGATTGCGGGGGTTCGGGATTTTGTAAGTTTCCATTTATCTTGAGGGATCCTCTTTGGAGGCCGTGCAGCAACATCCCTCTATTCAGAGTCTCTTTTACGGCTCCCTAAACCCTAAGCCCTGAACTTTTGCAACCCTGAGCCCCAAACCCTTAACCCTACGCCCGACGTCCTAAACCCCGAACAGGGTATTTGTCAGCAGGGAAGGAACGAACCTGTCGAAATCGATATGAGGAAGGCCCGAAGCCGAGTATCGAGGCTGAAGCGGCTAAGCATCATGCCCGGAATCCAGAAATCCCATAATATTCTGTTATATGGTATACATTGTATGTGAAGGTATATTATGTGATATGATAGTACATTATACGTTTTTGTTATCTGATTTTGTATTATGCTTAAGCCCGTAACCTCAAGCTTTTCACAGACAGCACTTAGAGCAGGCTGGGTAACACTACTCACCGAACTGTGAGGGCTATTTACCAATGGTTTGGGATTTAGGGTTTAGGGTTTGGGGTTTCCGGCTTAGGGTTTAGGGTTTTGGGGTTTAGGGTTTAGGGTTTGGAGTTTCGATGTTTGGAGTATCCGTTTTATGGGTTCAGCGTTCAATTGTTTTGGGGCAAGTATGCTGCTACTGCAAATGGATCATGCTCGCACCACGAGACCCTAAACCATGAAACCGAAATCTTGACTTCTAATTCCTAGCACCGAAAATCGAATCTAAACTTTAACCCCTGAGCCCTTAACCCCAGCCCTAAACCCTTCACGAAGCAGCAGACCCCCTCGAACACCCCCTGAAACCCGCGGGGTTGGAGCAGGAGACCTCTAAATCTACGTAGTGCTGACGATCTGATGCCTGTCACCCCTGAACCCTGAACCTTACCCAAGCCGACCGTGCCAGTCCACCCGGCAGAACGTCATGCAGCACGTGCATGCCGGTCTGGCGGTGGTTTTAGGTGGGCTGGCCATAACCTAGGGATCTTGATGATGGAACGGTTTCCTTTCAAGGGTTCCTTCGAAGGGTTCTGTTGCGGTTCCAAAAACGGTTCAAGGGTTTACGGGCCTGGCCATGAGGGGATCATGCGAGCTTCGATTAGGGTGCCTTAACGGGATCTCTAAGGGCTTGAGCCCGGGCTGAAAACGGATCACGGGAGGCAACAACTGGGCTCCTTAGGGCTTCTTTGAAGGGTTCCTTCGAGGGATCTGTAAAGGTTTGGGGTTTCGAGGATCATAGGAGTCAGAAACGAGGGTTATAAACAAGCCAACTGCAGCTATTAGGGTACTCATAACCTGACTTGCCAAGTCTCCTGATCCTACCACTTGGTTTGTTGGATTTCTGGGTTTTTTGTGTAGGATTTTGGGATTCATATCACGGTTTTTTCTTGTCGCAGGCGTCTGTGTTAGCTGATGACACGAGTCAGCTCGCAGTGGCATCCTTCAGAAGCATTCTTGAGAGGTTGCGTCGATCGACTTTTGCATGGTGACTGGCTCTAGCTTTTCGTTTCTAGTCAATGTTCCGTGTACCCCTGAAGGTACTCACATCGCAGCGGCTTGGCTGGGACTTGTCCTCAATCTCCAGTGCACATAGGTAAGCCCTCAAAAGCCGCTTTGGACCCGATTGATCCACGGCATCAAAAGCTCCAGAAGGACTGAAGCCCTGCCCATCAACCTAAACCCCAAACCCCAAAACCTACTGTAGACCCTAAACCCCAAACCCCAAACCCTACTCTAGACCCTAAACCCCAAACCCCAAACCCTTCTGTCAACCCCAAACCCCAAACCCCAAACCCTACTGTAGACCCTAAACCCAAAACCCCAAACGCTACTGTAGACCCGAAACCCCAAACCCCAAACCCTACTGTAAACCCTAAACCCCAAACTCCAAACCCTACTGTAAACCCTAAACCCCAAACCCCAAACCCTACTGTAGACCCTAAACCCAAAGCCCAAACCCTACTTTAAGCTGCCGAGAGTGCCGCTGACCATTTGCATGGGCGCTCGAGGCTTGGACCGAGGCGAGGGAGGTAACTCCCGGTATACGAGGACTGTAGTGACGCTGCCCCGCTATTGACCTCTCTGCCGTTAGGCAGCAAAGATAGACCCCAAACCTTCACCGTTTGGCGTGGCTTTGTGGTTTTTCTGGGGTTGGCGGGTGGGGGGCCCCGGCTAGCAGATTCCAAGGGACGACCTCGATTTCCCTGCCTGTGGCCCCACCAGGCTGGCAGAGTTCCTAGGCTTTTGCTTTTTTTTGGTCTGGGGGTACCCCTCACAGGGGGTCTGGGGCCAGCTGGCAGACTTCAGGGATCTAGGGGCTCCTGGGCCTGTCCGAAGCGGCCCTCCCCACCCCAGCTGGCAGATTCCAGGAACCCTTTGCCCAGCAACCCTGATTGGGTGCGAGAGGCGAAAAGTTTGTTGGGAACCCTTGCTTCTCGTCGAGAACCGCGAAGGGAAAAAAAGAGCAGGAAAGCCCTCTTTAAGAGGGGTTTGGGGGGTGAATGCTAAAGGTGGTTGGGGCGGGACTACATGCTGACGCAAGCGCGCGATTAGTGGGCGCGCCCCCATTCCGAAAGTAAAAGGCGCACCCACCGCACACATCGTCTACACACCCTAAACCCCAAACCCCAAACTCTACTGTAAGCCCTAAACCCCAAACCCCAAACCCTACTGTAAACCCTAAACCCCAAACGCTACTGTAAACCCTAAACCCCAAACCCCAAACCCTACTGTAAACCCTATAAGCCCCAAGCCCCAAACCCTACTGTAAACCCTAAACCCCAAACCCTACTGTAAACCCTATAAGCCCCAAACGCGAAACCCTAGTGTAAATCCTCAACCCCAAACCCCAAACCCTACTGTAAACCCTAAACCCCAAACTCCAAACCCTATTGTAAGTCCTAAGCCCTACTGTAACCCTTAAACCCAAACCCCAAACCTATTGTAAACCCAAAACGCTACTGTAAACCCTAGACCCCAAGCCCCAAACCCTACTGTAAACCCTAAACCCTAAACTCCAAACCTCAAACCCTACTGTCAACCCTCAAACCTAAGCCCAAGATGCTGACCCACCCCCAAAGAAATCATGAGCCCTGAAGCTACTCGAAGGCCCCGGCTGTTGAAGAGACGACTCCAACGCTCTCGCAGGAGTCGCAGATATCATAGGGGCCTTAATAATTAGGTTCCTTTAAGGGTTCCTTTAAAGGGTTCCTTAAAGGGATCTATAAAGGCTACTACAAGGGTTTAGGGTTAAAGGGCTTCAACAAGGAGCCCCCAAAACCCTTTTCTTAATTATTACGGCCTCTACGTTATCATAGGGCTTCGGGGCTAAAGGGTTTAGGGTTTAATTCCGGGATCTAGGACCTAGGATCTAGTGCTTGGGGTTTAGGGTGTAGGGGATTAACCACTGTCCCCATGGTAGAGTACGTATAGTGGTCTTGTTAATGGCAAGAGAAAGGCTGTCCGTTAAGTGAAATTATTGGGTGTTCCTTGGATTTCGAGATTCTTAGATGGGTCCTCACTTGCGCTCTTCTTAATTCGGAAGCGCTTCGGGAAGTCGGCGCTTCTGAAGTCTGCAGGGGCCCTGAAGCATCAAACAGCCTTAGCTGCTTGGCACTTTGTCATTCTGCAACATAGAAGCCTACATCTTACAACGGGATACCCCAAAACCCTGTTGGAGTTGCGAAGGCCACAAAAAAACGCTTGGGTGGTTTGATGGTTTCGAGTGTGCTGGGTTGGAGCGGAACAGCACCGCCCGACCTTGAACACAGAGCCTCTGAACCACTATAGATCCAACAAGCTTGCAAAACCCTAATCGCCCCAAACATCCGAACGCTAAACCCCCCCCCCCAAAAAAAAAAACCGGCGTTTGAGGTTTTTGAGGGTCGAGTTCAGGGTTGGATGGTCGATTCAGGGGCTTCTCTCCTTGACTTGACAACCCAGAGATTCCAAAGCAGGATTTTTGTAAGAAATATGCCTTGATGCATAGTAGGGAACTGTGTAGAATTTTCAGAAGGCTTCCTTACCCTAATCCCATATACCTGATAACCCGAAACCCAAAATTTCGTCGCTAAGGGATGTTGGAGTCTTTGGAAAGTCCCTAAACCCTGGACACCCTAAACCCTGCAAGCCCTAACCCCCAAACGCTACACCCTAAACCCTAAACCCTCAACCCTGCAAGCCCTAGGCCCTGAACCCTCAACCCTGCAAGCCCTAAGCGGCCCTAAGCCCTAAACCCCAAACCCTGCAAGCCCTAAACCCCTTTTGGCAGGAGCGCTTCACCTCCGCGGCGAAGAAGCTCCTGGGACCCCTGGGGCAGGTGCCGCTCAGCTGAAAGCTGGAGTCCGGAGCCTTGGAGTTTAGGGTTTAGGGTTAAGGGTTTAGGGTTTAGGGTTTAGGGTTAAGGGTTTAGGGTTTAGGATAAGGGTCTCTACTGGTCTCGACTTTTGTGGTCTATAGGGTTTAGGGTTTAAGGTCCACTGGGTTTAAGGTTGAGGGTTTTATGGCCTGTTCTTATGCACCAGCTCCGCGGAAAGCTGGGTCAAGGGTCTGATTTCATGGGCTAGAGGGTCTAGGGTTTATGGTCTCTATTTTACGGGGCTATAGGGTTTAGGGCTTAGGATTTTATGGTCTGTTCGTTTGGTCCCTAAATCCTAAACCCTAAACCCTAAACCTAGATTCAGCAGCATCGTCTAGTGCTTCGGGTACGCCGTGAGCTGCTTGGATTGGAGACGTGGATGACTCTGTTGGGTCTATTGGTGATTGAGGATGTTCTCATTCGGGTCGTCTTCGACAGATGTTTCGTTCACTGCCACTACCTGCTGTACTATGTCATCGTCCTTGTCATGTTGCAGGGTGTCCTTTGCCTGGCGGGATGTTTCACTTTCTACGAGCCCAATGGGGCTAGCGCGGAGGTAAAAGTCCGACTATCGTAGATCAAAAAAAACCCGATCTAGGGCTTAGGTTGTAGGGTTTAGGAGTCCCGAGCCGTGCTTGGGGGGTTTCAGGGTGTGCAGCTTCATAGAGTCGGAATAGCTACTATATTATGTTCACTATATATACTATAGCTGCACCATAATCATAAGGAGATCCAGAACCACAGTCTAATGTTTCGAGGCACCCTTTCTTGAGGAGGCTTGAGGGTTTCGGCTTTTGGGGTTAGTAGTTATGGGCTTTGGGGTTTGGGGCTGGGAGGGTTGAGGGGGTTGGGTTCCCTCTCGGGCTCTAGGATTCAGGTTTAAGGATTGGGGCTTCAGGGCTTTAGGGGCGCTTTGAGGTTTAGGGTTTATGGAGGCACTTTGAGGATTCGGATTTAGGGTTTAGGGTTAGGGCTTTAGGGTTTTAGGGGGGCTTTGGGGATGAGGTGTTGTGGGGCTCGAGTTGTAAATGCACGAATTCGGGTTATTGGTGGGCTGCTGCGCGCTTCCCAAGGAACACTCGTGTGGGCTCAGCAGCTGCGCAAGCTCGCGCAGACCTTCAGTACCTGCGAGATATAACAACAAGGCCAGGCTTTGGGGGCTTATAGGGTGTCCTGACTAATTCATAATCTGTTTTGGGGTTCGTCATCTTCATTATAGCTATAGTATGAGATACCCCCAAGCTCTATTCTAGTAATTAAGGCCCCTGCAGCCGCAGACGTCTAGGACGAGAGCAGGGATCTCTCAGAGTCTCTTATGGCATCATGCGTACCTGCAGCTTATAGCCAGGTATCAGACGATCCATCACACCTTCTGGGGCAACCTGGTGCCATGGCATAGCAGATGCCAGCCCTCGCCCACCTCTGCATCCTAGAAGCCACACAGCCAGCCTCATTCCAACTCCAAGCCCGCGGGGTGAAATGTCTGGTTTGGGGCTTGGATACCTGCCAGAAAACCTCAACTTCTCATCCCTGACCACTAAACCCTGAAACCCTCTACAGTGTGGTTTTCTGGAGTACGCAACCCCGCGTCGTGGTTTTCTGAAACCTGAAGCCCTGACTATGAACCCAAAGCCCTAAACGCTAAACCCTAGACCCTTTCCCAGGCTTTGGCCTTTTGGCTGGGCTTCTGGATTGCCCTCATCGGGCTGCCGACTCCAAACGCAATTCAGCCCCCGGTAGGGGGGCTTCAGTGTAATTCCAGAAACTTGAAGAAGTACTTTGATACTATTAGGGTTTATGATTTAGGGGTTTAGGGTTATTCCTTATGGTTCCTGACCCTAAGTAGACTCTACTATGCCCCAAACCCCAATTCCAAATTTTTGAGCCAGGATATTGCAAGATTTGAGGTTCAGGGCCGGATCAGGGTGTTTCCGTATGGGTCCGGGGATTTCGGGTTAGGGCTTGTGGGAGCTGAGTGTGAGGCAGACGGAGTCCGAAGGACTCCAGGTTGGGTTTAGGGTTTAGGATTTTAGGGTTTAGGGTTTTAAGGTTTTAGGGTTTAGGGTTTTCAAGTTTTAAGGTTTAGGGTATAGGGTTTAAGGTTTAGGTTTTGAGGTTTAGGGTTCGGGATTCCACGTTTCAAAACCGTGGTGGCTGTTTTGGAAAGTCAAGTTTTAGTTGCTCTCAGAGGGGTT